ACACACACCTGCTTGTGAGGTGAATCTCTATTTCTGGATCATTCTTGAAGCTTGAGCCTGAGCCAATGAGATGATGCTACAGAGAGTTCAGACTTTAGTGGGCAGATCTCCTGCTGGTCCCTGTTCTCTGATATCATTCAGGCCTGAAGTGTCCATTCATGCACCTAGAGTACTATTTCTATGTATGCTCATATCTGCTTTCTGGCTCTGATGCTCCCCCATATTACTGGTTCTTAACACTAACACTCTCTGAAGTTTTCACCAGTTATATTTTCACCTGTGTTTGAGCAGCTGTGTTCGAGCTGAGCTGATAGCTCTTTCCACCTCTCCTTTAGCCTGAATACGTGTGGTGGGGCCCTCATGAGAAGGCTCACCCAGGGGTCTACTGGGGAGTATCACTATCCTGTACATGGTGAGGGTCTTGATGGGGCTCTGACAGGATTTACAGTGGGGCAGTGTGTGACCACAAGCTAGTTAATTCTATATGAGGCAGAGATAGGGAGCCCAGGGAAAGGGCGGTTGTGGGTGCTGGCATGTGTGGATGGGATCTCACAGAAGGAGAGGAGCTTGAACTAGACCTCGGATAGGCTCATTTTAGCGGATGGCAAAACCAAAGATGTAGGAGAGGTTTGGAGTGTCCTGCCATGAGTGAAGGCTTCTCAACAACAAGAAAATGGTTATAATAACACTGAAAGAAATGTATAAAATTATTCTGTAGTTTTGAGATGGAGAACTTTTAAAAGTAAATACAGAAAGTCCTACGTACCAGGCAAAGATTCATAGTATTAGTATGAAATAAAGTTCTTCCTAATGAAGAATACTGTGTCACACATTAACACATGGATTGCTAATTGATAATATATTAATTAATATTTTACTCTTGGTGTTCGTTTTGTATAAATACAACTCATGTTGTATGTTAAAGATTTCAAACATGCATGTGTAGTATTATATATTTGCCTTAGAGTATTCAAAGAGAATTTTCTGGAAATTTGGAAACTTCAAAACCTAAAATAAAATTTAAACACCATAAAAAAAAAGAGTGAAGTCTTCTCTAGTGATTGCGATGACGTTGGGTCATCAATAAGGTCCTTTTACTGAGACTCTACAATATGTGGTGGAGCCTGGCTAACAAGTGGTTTATGATCATCTGCTAATCTAGGAGTTGGTGGTTCAAACCCAACCAGCTATGGAAGAGAGTCATGGGATTCCGTTTCCATAACTCCAGTAATCAAGGAAAACTGTACAGAGAAGTTCTCCTCTGTCCCACAGCTGTCACCGCGAGGCAAGGACATTTGTGGCATAGTCCACAGCATGCAAAAGCCCCCGAGTCCCCAGTGGTTCAAATCCACCAGCAGCTCCCTGGGAGAAAGAGAAGCAGTCTCTTCCTGTTAGGATTCCTAGCCTCTGAAACGTCTGGGTTGGAACCAACTCCGTAGCAGTGTGTTGGAGTAATTCCTCAGGAGTGAACACCGGGCCATCTGCTCTTGTGGCCATTACTATGTTCATATGCAAATAATACACATTATAAGAAAATACATTGAGGAGGTATATCACACAACTGTGAAAATACCTTGAGGAGAAGGAGATTATTGGTAAACAAATCTAGAATACACTTGTTATTTAGTAAAACATAGCACAGTGTAGGAAACCCTTTGGAGGATAGATAGATATAGATATAGATGATATAGATACAGATACAGATGATATAGATTATATAAATGAGATATAGATATAGATGATATAGAT